GTGTGTCTGTGTGTGTGTGTGCGCGTGTGGCGTGTAGAGGGGGGGTTGGGTGAAGGGGTTGTTTCATCAACTGTTTACATTATTCCAAAGAATAAAACATTTGTGTGCGTGTATTTGTGTTATGAGTATATGTCACAAGGGGTTCTCTCTTGATCATGGGGTGTGGAGCGATTTTAATCTTATTAACAGCCCTTCCCCTGTTTGGCAAATAGCTTTCCAACGGCTTGGGTAATGAACTGTTTGAGGGTGCTTTCGGAACACACTAACACACACCACTAAAACACATAGATAGTTGGACAAACATACTGAAACACACAAACCAGTCCACTCCTCCCTCTGCTGAACTGCGGCCAGATTGCTAGTTATCCTTACATCTCAGACACCAGAACAAACATGCACTTCAACAGCCAGCTGACAGTCAAGCCCAAATTCTCCCTGTGAACACAGCTCTGCTTTTTTTGGTATTAGATGCTACAGAGAGGACGACAAACCTCAGTGGATTTGGCACCCATTTATAAATGGGCATTCTTTAACAAATGCTTTCTGGGACTCCTGTTAAATGCATCGTTCCCTTGTGAGTTATAGTTCCTATTAAACTGTAGTCAAGCCTTGATGAGGTGTTTTTTTATCCTCTCCTCTCCTCAGATCCTCATCTTCTTGTGCTATTTTTCTTGCTGTTTAAGTATAGAGATCTGTTAAAGTGGTCACAGTTATCACTTACAGAAAATATGTAATTGTGGCTTTTCATTTAGAATGGAACGATCAATCCAACATTAACAGGGTGTCAGGTCACTCTGGGCCACTGGCAAACTGCATATATTAGAGCTCTATCGGTTTGCACTTACCTAATACAAGCTGTTGGAATGGTGCTATTTAGGTAGTATATTTTTGTATATACCATTGTAAAATCACAAATTTAAACTCACTCTTTTATGCACAGGTGTTTGTTGTGCATATGCCCTTTTAGGAAGTTACCGCATGAAATCTTAACTGTGTATATAACCATGCTTTTTTCACAAAATAAAAAAATAAATAATATAAAAAATGATGAAGGCCTTGTCAAATAATGGAGGGTGAATTGCAAATTCCTTGACGATCAAGGGCATCACTTGTAAGTCCAGAAGGCCAAGAAACAGATATTATGCAGCTCCTTTTTTCATTAGTCTCTTTAGTCATCTGCTGTTCTCTCTTTTTCTATGGCTCAAGTTTATTCCATCTTCTTAATCCATAACTCTTTCAAAGTCTTTTTCCACCGTTAAATCTCCAAACTGATGGCACATAAAACACAGAAGCCGGAGAACAGAGGCACCCTAAGTGCTCATTAATGCCTCGTTAGCATTGAAAATGAACACCACAAAGAGGGGATGAGTCAGGGATGGGTGGTGAAGCCCTACTAATGAGGAAAAACTTTATTTTCTTGGCTTTTTTTATTGAGCGTTATTAGAAATATTTGAAAATGGCGGAACAGTTTTAACCCTGTCTTCTCCTTTTATTCACTCAAAATGACTGAGAACAAGAGGACCTAACATCTTCATTGTCCTTCAGTGTCCTTCCAGACATTTAACTAACCTTAACTCTGTCAGAACTGCTGTTATCTCACTGCAGTCTTTCACTAAGCAGCAGGAATTACGCTTCATTCTCTCATCATTTCCATCCAATGTATTTCATTAATATGACTTATTAGCCTTTAGCTAATCAATACAAATGTTGTTCTTTTTAATTGTTTTTTCCCCCAATAATCTTTCACATATACATGCCAGATCGATCTTAAAAATATCTCTTATAGTTACTACACACTACAAATATAGATATATAAAGTCTCTTGTATTTGTTGTAATCTATCGTTGCATTATTTTAGTGAGGAGGTAGAGGTATATATGCTTTTGCTCGATCAGTGTGTACCCCATGCTTTCTTTCAAATGCTCCATCCAGGCATTATGTTCCCATTAAAGACCTATTAATTCGCAAGACATTTTCCTTGTTCTGTCAACAATGTTTCATTAGAATAGCTTTGGTAGTTTCCATGTAAGTGAATTTTTCCCTAAACCTTCAACTCGAAGCAGCAGCAGGGTGAGGTCCTTGAAGTCCTTTTTAAGAAAATTGGGTTTGACAGCGACAGCAGTTAGTCTGGCTTTTGTTTTCTCCCTTTGTTGTCTATGTCCCCTTTGATTCTACACCTGAGAATGAAAACAGTGATACAAAGTGTGTCTGATTTTATGTCTCCCGCTGTTTTTCTAGGATTCTGAAACCTTTTTCTCACTTCTCTGCAGCCTTCCACCAATTTCCTCCATCAATAATCTCTTTTCCTTTTTCCTTTTCAGGCAGTACTATGAGATGCTGTACAACACTGCAGATGAGCTGCTGAACCTGGTGGTGGACCAGGGTGTTCGCTACACAGAGCTGGAGTACATCAACGCCCTGTCTTTGCTCCATCGCAGTCAGACGGGTGTAGGGGACTTGAGCACTCAGAACACCCGGCTGCAGAGGCTGAAGGAGATCATCTGTGAGCAGGCTGCCATCAAACAGGCCACCAAGGACAAGAAGATCACTACGGTGTAGCAATGAAACAGTCAAGTAACAAGATGGGCTGAACTTCTTGGAGCACAGGAGAATAGATTTACATAGATTGTTTCTTAACATGTGTGATTATGAAAATCTGTTAGTGGAAAGTATGTATTCTCCTATTCTCCATGTTATATTAAAAATTATAGTCGTATGTTGGCATAGACATGTCATTCTGTCCATCTCGGGATATTAACTTTATAGTTGAGCACAATCTCTTCCTCTAATTGGGAGGTGAGGTGACAACCTATGCAACTACAAACTAAAGTTTGCTGTTGCGTGGGTTGCAGTTGTCTAGTTATGTCATCAGGTCACCCAAATTGTTGGTTTACGCTTCTTTAAAGACTAAAAACATTGCAGCCTTCATGCTAAAAGTCTGCCAGCCTTTAGCTCAGCATACCTTAAGATCCAATAAAAAAGAGTGTCTTGACTGGTCACCAGAGCTTGGACCCTATCTTATCTCATTTTACTATTAGATCTTAGTTGCTGCTCTCAATTACACCCCTATCCTCTTTTCCAGGCTGCCCCATGAGCCCACTGATTCTGTCTGCAATAGCAGATGCCAGATTACTCTGTCTGAATGAGGCCACATCCTCTACCTGCTGCCAATTTGGTTTGGTCCCCTAAGATTTACCTATTTTATATGTGGTTGTTAAAAGTATGCTTTTCAGAGGGTTTTTAGAAGTAAACTTCTGCAGCTGTTGTGGAAAGCTGAGTTGTTGTTTTTTTTACAGTCATTGACAGTCACTGTTTGTTCCTTTCGTAAATACGTTTATTCCAAATCTTATTTCTTTAGTTTAGCATGCCAGAGTTTGGTTTGTCAAGGGGTTGCAGATATGAGTCACCATAATGACAACATTAGATCATATACGATAAAATTAAAGTTTACCAAACAAATAAGCACAAGAGTTGGTCCCAAATCATTCATTTCCCTCCCACCTTCACTGTTTGTAGTTCATTAACTTAGGTGAGAAGTATTTAACGAGAAGGAGAAAGAAATGGGAGCCATGTCAATAATGTGGGCCCAGTACTGGTCTCCCTGAGGTCCACAGAGCAATCCATCATATGGACACAAAGGCTGGGATCGATGGGAAAAACAGTGCAGCTGCTGAGTGGTTCACCTACCACTCTGAAATGCACACTTGGTGTAGGATCTAAAATCTGCTTATTCATCTCCTCACTTCAGAGCTACTTTTGTAAGGTTATACATGAGTAACTATAATACAATGTTAACCAACTGTGCTATTCCACTCATGCTGACTATCAAACCTTTGTCACTCTGCAAAAACATAATAGACAAATGTCTAGAAGGCATACATGCATGTACGTATCACTCTTGTGCTCCATGCTTTTGTCCATGAATTGCACGTATAAAAAGTAATGCAAATTTTTTTTCTTGACAAATCCCAGCTTACCCGCAAGTCTTTTGGTTAACTTTCATTTCGCACATGACGTATGATCAAATTATATTTCATGCAAGAATGTATTGAATTCAAATGCATCCAATTTTCCTGTAGAACAAGTTAATATCCCACAGTGCTCGTACCGCTGATTGTTCTTCATAAGATTCTTTGAAACATATCCACACAATATTCGATACACATGATTTGCATACACTAATAAAGTAAAAAAAATGTATTATTTACACTTTGTCTTTTTGCCTTTTATATGAGGGGTATTTTCTTTCCATGATTAGGAAATATTGCTTCTGCAAGTTCATGTACGCCTCCTCTATAACAGTCTATTTCTGTTTGGATGGTGTGAAGAGGTTTCTGGTCATACCACAGGAGCAAGTCGGATCCAAAACCAACATTAGTGAATAAAATTAATCTGACAGGTTTGATGTGTTATGTGTCAAAGCTTTAAATCCAAAGCGATGATTAATGCAGTTTATTGAAAAGGTCCACTTCCATGACATAACACCAAGTGGTATTATTGGCACGGATCCACATGCTGGGTTCTTTACTCCCTACATTTACAAAACCTAGTGGTATTTTGCTTGGTTGTGATTCAAAGTTGCAAATTAAATAAAAGGGTGAGCTAATGCCATCTCTTGTCACTTTATTCAAAATCTGAGAGGATGATTCCTGTCCAAGCGTGTTTGTATCGACCTGCAGCTTTACATTGATGCTTTAACTTTTACCTGATAGCTCTCCATTCCAATGGCTGAGCACTTTTAATCATGCCTTTTTTCCATTATTAGTATAAATTCCTTTCTGTAAAATCCGCAGTGAAACGTTGCATGGATGGCTGTCAGACAACGGTAAAAATAAATAAATAAATAAATAAATAAATGAACAAATAAAATAAACTACGTAGCCCACAATGCCCTTCACCTGCTGTTCTGTTGCTAGGTGACGAAAATCCATACCCGGTGTGAAAAGCCAGCCTGCTATTTAGCCAGGTGGGATATTAGTTTACTGGGACAAACCGCCCATTTTGGCCAACGACACATAAGTCAGCAGATTTTTTTGGTTGTGGTAATCAGATAATGGCGGAAACAGCAAGTCGACAGTTTTCGGGCCGGTTGCTCATTCGCTGCCAACCAGGGTCCCTCACGGCAGAGGCCTCCAACTGCATGGGGCCGCGGGAAAGAGGGGATAAGGAGGTAAAGAGAGGACGCAGTCGTTTATTTCGGGTTTGAGGTTAAAACACAATTTATTTAACTGTGTGTTTGTTGGAATTGTGGCTGACATGGCCGTGTTATTTAGAAATATTCCATATTCAGCCCGTGCCATCCATATTTATCCCGTTCTGGAACAAGTGCCGCAGGTAACCTTGTGCAGGATGTCTTGACAAGTAGAACCGCTCCGCAAGGTCAAGTATTATTATACGTTTGCAAGTCATTGAATCTGCATTATAGGCAGAATCAGTGTGTGCGTGTGTGTGAGTGTGTGGTGCAGTGTTGTGTGCATGTTTGTATTCAGGCTCAGTACACTGAGAGCACCTGGTGAGTCTTACAGAGGCCTCAGGCATATATTTTTTAGATAGTTCGACTGAATTGATGCAGTAGAAAATGTTATTCCTGAACACACCGTGGTAAGCACACTTGTAAAATATACCGTGTTTGCAATTTTTATTCATTATTGTAATAGGAAAATTGTGTATTATGTGATGGTGTCCTGCAGTGATGTTTTTGCACCTGACAGCAGAATGTATACCACAGTGTGATTCTCTACCTGTGAGATGAAAACTGTCCATTGGCAATATTGATTTTCTATCTAGCTTTTAAGTGTGTTAAATCACTTGTTGTGTTTAATGAAGGTAAATCAGCAGTAACCATACTTGTATTGTTTTCTTAAGAGCCACGGTCCTCTTGATATATCTGTGCTATACAACTATGTCCATCTTAAAAGGCTGGAGTTGCCGTACAACAACATTAAAGGTGAGCTTTTGCTTTTTGAATGGTTATCTCATAAATCTCAAAGCTGACATGAAGTATGTATTTCCCTTATTTAACAAACTGCAAGACTTATCCTGCATCAGCCACATGCCATACCTTGTCCTCCTGGATGCTTCTCACAATGAAATCTCCACCTTCTTTGAATTCGAGCCACCCAAGAACCTACAGGTAACACATGACCTTCAGCTGTCAGCGAAAGACAACATTTGATTGGTGGCTAGGGCCTCACTCTCAAGTACTATTCCCTCAAGATAAACCTGGATTTCCATAGCCCATCTGTAGTTGCTTTGAATTTGCTTACAAGGCATTTCCTGCCCTTCAATGACAGTGAACTTTAGCTAAATCTTTACTATACTCTGTGGATTTGGTTAAGGAATTTTTCATTGAAGTGTACTGTAGACTTATGTGACTTGTCTAACTTTTGTTATAACTGATCTTATTCTTTCCCTATTCCTTTTTCTAAACTTTTCAGGAGGTCAATCTTGCCCATAACTGTATAGCAGAAATGAAGGATTTGGCAGGCTATGCGTCCCTGTGTAAACTGAATCTGGACTGTATCCCGACAAACATTCACACATATGGATGTGAACTATTTCCCTCTTTCTCCATCAATCATTTGGTCACACATTTATGTCTTTACTCTGTATATTGTGTCTGATAACATGAGTAACTGATGCACAGTAATCTGCAACCCCACATCATAAAAAGTTTAGATTTGAGAAAAAAATACATTTTTGTGATATTTTCCAGCACCTTGACTCCAGTTCAGGTCAATTCAGTTCAATTATAAAGACAATTAAACAACATTTCTTCATGCTGGTTTTGATGCTGTGCAGCTGAAATGCCTTAGTAAGGTATATCTAAAAGCTGTTTAGCAGATAACATGAACAATGTTGGGTTAATATCTGTTGAATTACGTTAATGTGGCTTTTATTATTTTTTGCATTTTTCATATCATCTAAACTTGAATTGATGTAGTATGTATAATATTTGTTGTTCATGTCAAATGTTGTGTGTCCTTGACATGCCTGTGCTCAGACAACAAACTGAGTGAGGTCACAGGTCTTCAACAATGCTGCAGACTCACTCATCTCAGTGTGGCACACAACAGGATCTCAAGGATCAGAAGCTTGGACGGTCTCCCTCTCACACACCTATGTCTTGTAGGCTTTTTTTATAAATGAATTTTTCTTATGTTATATTTCCTAATGTGCAGTTTAAATAATAACTATCTTCTTGGAGGTATCCCTCTTTATTCGCACAGCTATGCTGTGTATGATATTACAGTTCTATGCATATTGGCTGCTATCACGTGCACAATATTGGAGTCATGTGATTTTTATTTGGGTATGCTTGTTTGTTTGTTTCTCACTTGTCTTTCACCTGTTTACTTCTTTATGTTTGTGTTATTGGCCACATTTTTGGATTTACTGAAGTCTTGGCCCTTACTTGAAAATCACCATATGGCCCAGCAGCAGGCCTTTTCTCTCACTCTCCGTCCATTTCCTTGTATGTGTGTTCATGTGTGGTTAAATGTGTGTTGTGGTTCTTTTATCAGGGTTTCCTCATTGTCAGCAGCCATTGGTTTGGCTGCATATGCCCCTGTCTGTAGCAGTGCTTTGGGACCAGCTGCTGGTGTTTGAGCGATCCTGGACCATATTCAGCATACATGCATGCCCTATCCATCCAGCATCCATCTAATCCCATTCCTGACCTCTCTTCCACACATGCAGTCTCCCTAAACAGCATGACATTGTCAGCCAGCCTGTTTCCAAGCCCATCACAGCACCGACCCATTGCTTCCAGAGACCAGCACGGTCACTAAACCCCACTGACAACAGCCCTCTGCCAGGCAGCATGCTTGGCAAGGGAAGGACGAATTGTGGCCAAACAGCTAGATAACAACTTTTGTCAAGTGAAATGGGATGAGAATCAGGCTGACAAGAGAGGGGTGCCCAGGTCTTGTTCTTTAGTTAGCGTGCTGTGCTAGTACCCTGCCAGCTGTTGAGCTGTCAGTCTTTGCCTGTCAGCATTTAACAGAAAAGGAGAACTGCTTCTCAGATCAGTACTGATAAGAGACAAAGTTTGGCACCCTGTAGAGAGACTATGGCTTGCCATGAATATCTCCAAAGAATAACTGAATGTATATAACTTAGTGGGAAGCCACCCATGCATATATCTGCATTCATATTACGTACTTGCTTCTTTGAATATATCTTTCTCTCCTGTCTGTGTTCAGAGGGGGAACCAGCTGGAAAGGATTGAAGGGTTAGAGAATGTGAAGTGCCTGCAGGTTCTTGATTTGTCTTTGAATTACATTACCAGTCTTACAGGCCTCCAGAACCTCCATATTCTATGCTCTGTCGACCTGGAGAAAAATCAGGTACTATTCGGAAAGAAATTTCCAGTATGAACTCTCTCAAATGTGTAATTTTGTAAAATGTAAAATGTGAGCATTTTCAATACTATTTAACCAATGTTTAGGTCTTAAGAAAACATATAAAATGCTTTGTTAGGCATTTCACTATGTCATGAGAGATGTTACTTAATCTTGACTCTGATGGCTCAGAATTGTTAGATGGTGTTGGACATAAAGCTGAAAAAAATGTTAAATTCAAAAGAAGCCAGTTGAGGAACATCCAACCTTTTTTTCATACTGTTTATTCCAGTTAAGGTGTGGAGGGGGGTCAGGGGCCTATAAACAATGGTGAACATGCAAGTTTAATAGGCAGCCAGTCAGTGACATGAAATATGTAGCAAATCAGAAAGGTGAAATTCCACAGAAAAAAAGTTTGGCCGATGTTCAGCAAACTGCAACAAAATGCAATGTTGTGTCGATATAATTTGCTCTTCTATTTCTAAAGCAAAGAATTTGACTGTTCCATCATTGAGACGTTCTTGAAACTCATATCCATAACACATTTAAAGAACATTTGATTTGAAAAAAGAGTGAATGCAGCACCATGAAAAACAACCCTGTCCCAGTTCATTTTATTACATGATTTTAATTTTTTTACATGTCTGAAAAAACATTAAAACCTGTTATCTATTTTTGTTTTAGATAAATGAAATTGAAGAGTGTAAGCATATTCATGAACTCTCCCTGCTGAGGGACCTTAATCTGCTTGAGAACCCTGTTCAGGTAACCGTACCTTTTACTTCCATCATTCAGTGTGTTAAAGTGTGCTGTGCGTGGCAGATGCTCTCTCTCTTTCATTCAATTGGTATGCAGCTTCTGTGACACCTTGTATCGATATGTGGATAATCAAAGATGTTAAAGTTCACTTTTATTCTGTTTGAAAGAAAAGCTGATTAATGCTAACAGTAGTTTGCTCTATGTTTTTGCTGTTTGGATCACATGGATGTATTTTGTAGAATCAGCCTGATTATAGACTGGCAGTCATATTCCTCCTTCAACATCTGACTGTGTTGGACCGAGAGGAAATTGCTGCTGAAGAAAAGGTGTGACTTTGTTACATAATTTATGTCTGTGTGGACTGTTTATGGCACCTAATTGCTCATCTTTAATTCCAGGTTGTTACAGTAAACAAATATGACCCTTCACTGGATTTGGTGGCAGCCAGGGATCACATGACCCAACTGGTGCATCAGTTGATGCAGCCTCAGATTCTTTATGATAGGTTTGTAAAAATGTATAAGATTTTTAAAAAGATTTCCACATATGTTTATTCATAAAGTAGGGGTTTTTAAATTGTTATTTCACTAGCACACAAATGATCTTAAGGTTTCAAAACATTTCAGACACAATAATTAATCATATTCAACAGCAAGTTATATACAAAAATGAAAAAATGGCTGTTTTCAAACATCAGAAGCAATTTCTTCTGTGTGCTGCTGCATAACGTCCTCTAAAAGAAAAAAAGATCACATATCAGCACTTTTTTTTATAAGATGTCCATCATCAGCAAATAAAAGCGGCAGCTATAGTAATTTGCCATTCTTTGTACTCAATAGAGCACATTTATAATGCCCCCAAGCCTTCTGTTTATATTGACTGTAGGAGTGGTTGTAAAGAACAATGGCGTTTTCACTCTGGTATCAAGGTGTCTTACACGTGTTTCTTGGAAGAGAAGATAACTGATTCCGAAGCTACGACAGAACAAGTCAAATGAAAGTTAATTAAAATCCTGCGTGTGAGTCTGTGTTTATGTGTGTGTGTTGCTATGCAGTACACCGATCAGTGCAGACTCGCCCTACCCTGTGATAGTGCTGACGGGTCCCCAAGGCTGTGGAAAGAGAGAGCTGGCTCACAGGCTGTGTCAGGACTTCAGTGAATACTTTGGATATGGGTCAGTCTTAACATTTCTGTATATGTAGTAAAGGAACATACAGGGCCGTCGCAACCAGCACTACTTACCCTGCTGCAATATTTCCTTACATTTCCCTAAGTTTTTGCATAAATATTGCAGCAAGTGAAACAGCACCTTGTATGTTTAATCATAAAGATTTTACTTACTGCTTGTACTGTGCTTCGCAGCCCATCGTGTAGCCCATAAATACGGGTCAGGTTAATCGAAACTGCATGAGCAACACTAAGTGTCGCTATGAAAAAATATGCCATATGAATAGCCTGGTAATCCATTGATATAATTTATAATTAAGTGCTAATTTCCCTTATTCACACAAGCCATGAATAATACTTTAATTAGAAATATATTATAAATAGGTATAAAGCTTCAGTCAGATCGATCATATTATTTTCTTATAGTTCAGCCCTGTGGGCTAATGGCAGTGTGTAAGCTTCCTTTGCAGCCCTGCCATTAAAATTCTTGACTGTTTTCTTCTTGATTTTGTCCTTACCAAAATAATTGCATTATGTTGACCAATACCAATTCAAAAATATACCAATGAACACTGTCCATATGACTGCAATAAACTGAATGTAGGGAGAAAACACATGCAGAGGACCTGGCTCTCACTTGCAAGTAGGTTTGACTGTCTTGAACAACGTCGAAGACAAGATTTAATACCAGCTCTTAACCTTGCCAGTGGCTTGCTTTCACTGGCTCACTTTCAAGGTTATGGATTTAGGATTTTTACATACTTACATTTTACTTTGTACATCAATTGGTCAGACAGCGCACACGCTACCTCTATAGCTGAGTGTTTGTCTGCTTTGCATCTCTGTGCATTCTTCTTTGCAGAATCTGTCACACCACACGGCGGCCCTACTGTGGAGAGAAGGATGGAATTGATTACCATTTTGTGAGTGAGGAAGACTTTCAGAGAACAATTTACATGGTGAGTTGGCTTGAAATCTTTCAAGACATGGTTTTAGAAGGAAATGCACTGCTCAAGATTTGTTTCTCCAGTGGACTCAGAATACTATTAGATAAATTAGAGTCATGAATATTCCGATATTCTAGATTAATTCCTGCCTGGTATTCAACTTTTTATACAATGGATTTTTTTTTAATCTGCTAGATTCACACATATCCTTGAGCAGGCATCAAATCGACTAACCTCTCTGCCTTTAATGAGTTGTGTAGTTGAGATAATTAGTTTTACTTTGGTGAATTGATTTCACTATAACTGCTTAATGTTTTTCATGAGAATTTTTACTAGATTGAGCTTTTATCGAAAGCTTTACTTCCCATCTGTATCAATTCAATGCCATCCAAAGCAGTCTCTTGCAACTCAATCTATTTAAGTGATGATTATTAGCCTGAGACGGCAAACTAGAAACCCTATAGGTCAGAATACAAACACCCGTCTAAATCTACAAACTTAAATGAAAGGGAACAGCTGAAATGCTTTGAATTGAATAAAATAAAATAATTACTGAACTTACAGAAAAAACAATAGTTGAGATCCAGGGTCTTGAACACATTTGTTTTCCATTATGTCACCCATGTCAAGGTGCATGTTATGCAAGGATGGTGGAGGAATATTTATGGCAGACTGGGTCTCATAGTGATTTACACACAGGAAGGGCTTTGATGTGTATATTGATGCCTTTTGTCTACCCCAGTAGAGGTTAACTTTACAATCTTCTCCACCTTTGTTTGATTTGTGCTTTCTTTTCCACCCTCTATTCTTCTATTGCCAGGAACTTTGTTTATTGCTGTCCAAGCTATCACTTATCACGTCACCTGCTATTCTCAGTCCTCAGATGGGCTTTTCTGTATGTAGTTAGAACCTCTTAAATAAATCTTGTGTTTGGACACACTCAGTTTTTATATGAACTTTAACTAATTAAAAAGGCTACAGTTTTTAGTCAGTTTGAGTTTTATACACATAAAAGTAAGACATATATTGGAATTTCTAAACTTTTGAATATGGCTATCAGTTTCATTGCTATGTCTGAATTTACTTTTTCTATCACTAAACAAAAATGTGCAGGAAATGATAATTCACTTTTTCACAGTTTTATGTGAACAGAAATTAATTTAACCAGGAGCTTCTTGAGAAAATTTAAAAAGATCAGAGGGTCACATGTCAGATGTAAGAAAGAGATTTTTGCCCTGGCTATGTGGTCAAAAGTTCAGTTCCCAGGTGGCCAAGTGGCTTCAGGTTGTTCATCTTGACAGGACATGTTAGACTTGTGTTTGTCATCTAAGAAGTCCATTTTATGAGATAAGTGGAGCTTGAAACTATCCTAAGAACATGATAGGTAGGTGATAAAATAACCGCTTATTCTTTTTCCTCATAACTGGAAATCTGCATTAAGGGTAAGTTTATCCAGTCCATGCGGTATGGGGGTCATCGATTCGGCCTCACCAGAGACGTTATAGACGACTTGGCCAGAGAGGGACTTGCCTGCTGTCTGCATATGGAGCTGGAGGTACACATGTGGGAAAACTCATGAATGGTTGTATGTCATTTAGAATAAAGCTGCCTGTGGCCCTGTATTTTTTGTGTGTGTGTTTTTTTTTTCTTTTTCTTTTTCAAATATAAAAAGTAACACAAAATATGTTTGTGATGGAGTGCGTGCTCTTTGTCTGTTACTGCAGGGCATTTTTGGTCTGAAGAAGAGCTACCTTGAGCCTCGTTACATCCTGCTCATCCCCGCCCAGGTAGAGAAGTACATAGGCCAACTTAAAAGCTGTGGACTCTATACCCCAGCACAGATTGATGTTGCAGTGTCACGTATAGACCTCTACGCCTCAACCAACAAGCAACAAATGGGATTCTTCGACGATGTTATTCATTGCGGTTGGTTAATTTCGATGTAAATCAACTGCTTTTTGAAGATATAAATGTAACTATAAACATTCTATAAATATCCAGCTAAAGTTTGTTGCAATACAAAGTATAATGAATATTTATAACACATTAAAAAACCAACATGAGTTACAAATGCACTTAAATGAACCCCTTGATAATGCAAAGATAATTCCATGATGATAATACGAAAAATTTTAAGTCTTTGGTGTACTCCCTCCATAAATGGGAAGCTTTGTCATCACGGTGTCTCTTGCAGTATAAGCACAGCATAAGATGGATTAAGTCACCTCAGGAAAATTCATGCGCCGTACCTTCAATCCAATTACCACCTGTATAAAAGACATATAGCTGCTGGATGGCTGAGTTTCTCTTCCCTCATGATAGGCATCAAACATGCTCGCTGTTCCCTTAATGAGATGAACATACAGTGAGCATGAGACACTCATCACTTTTATGCACTACTTGCTAAGGCTTCATTACTCTGAGGTCATCATGGCCACATCTTTCAATAATTGCTGATGGAAAATACATGGTTGTGAATCAGAACTCTGTGTATTTGCTTATGTGCTTGGATAGATGACTTAGAGGAAGCCTACCAGACACTGCAGCACATAGTGAAGGACTTCCTTTTGCTGGACGAGGAGGAGGAGGAGGAAGACGACAACAACAGCAGCAACCCATCCCTTGAAAGCACCTCCACAGGTGTCTGTGTGATACTAGTTTCTGTCATCATCAGCAGAACTAAAACTCTTTGCACTTATGTCGTGTTGCAAGAATCAGGATCAAAACTGCAGCCATTGCACTTTGAATTTTTTACCTGTTCAGTGCGCCAGTATTTTGTGTCAAGGTTAATTTACTATTTATATAGTAAATTATATTCTCATTGAAAAGGGTCATGGATTTGATTTGCTGATTTCACACCAGCCCTGTCTTAATTGCAGGTAATGATCCAGAGGAGAAACGTCCCTCACCACTGCTGGGGTCAGGGTCACTTATATCAGACTCTGTATCAGCTGTGAAGCCCTCAGACTCTTCTTATAGACCATATCTTACTAAGATCCATACAGACCTCAGCCCTGAGAAGTACTCTGCTGTGAGTTACAACATGTTCTGTTGATTAAGCATAAAGTGATTATTCAAAATTGTTACTTCTACTTTCAAATTCAGTTTTTTGCCTTTGTCGTTCAGCTGCCCTTCGTCTTCTCCTTTTTATTTTACTCTGCAGGAGCTAGCGTCCGTGAAGAGACGAGAGCAGCTGGTGAGGGAGGCCATAGTGGGGAGGAGTCCAGGGGTCTACAGCCAGCTTTTTAAGAGGTACAAATAAAAGGCTGGCACTCCACTGCAATCCAAGTGCTTAATTTTAAGTGGCCAATGTCAGTGGGACCAAATTTGTGTAATTACAGCACTTGCCTCACAATAACTGCATTTTAATGCTTTATTTTGAGTTGAACATGGAGAGTAAAGTGGCAGGTGTCCAAATTATTAGAACATAACTGTTTGTTAATGTGACAGACTCTTGTAGTAGTGCTCTGTACTCACTCTGCACTCATTCCATAATAACACATTCACCACCTGAAAGTACATCCACATTATCCATCCATTTTCTATTCTGCTTATTACAAATGGGGTTGTGGGGGGCTGGAGCCTATCCCAGCTGACAGCGGGCGAGAGGGGAGGTATACCCTGGACAGGTCACCAGTCCATAGCAGGGCCCATCCATATTATATTGTAAAAAAATAAATAAATAATGGAACTGAGAAACTGAGGTTGAATAATTTATTGGTAATTTCTTACCCTCAGCCCTACTCAGACTGCACAATTGTCGCCATCATCACTAGATAATCAGGATCCTGGTGGATCTCAGGAAATGAGGTAGGCACTGTCCACACAAGCAGAAAAACACAGACATGCACAGTTTGTAGGGAAAAGCTAGATCTGATGTTTAAATCTGAAAATAACACATGAATGGACATATGCCACTGTAAATATAAAAATAACTTAATGGTTTAAGGATCCAAAGGTTTATTTTATGACGTGATTAAGAACAATAATAAAGTGAAGATTAAAGAGGAAACCGCTTCGGTTGTAGCATTCCTAAATCCTTTGACCTGTTTTCAAAGCACATGTTCAGTTTTATAGAGCTCATCATACTAGTGCATGTTATGTGGGGAGTAATCAGGACGGACACCCTACACGTGCACAGTAACACACGTATACAGTCATCCATAAATTCGGATTTCATGTTTTCTTTGCTGTGTTTTCAATCCCCAGTGAAATCTTAGATGCTTTCTAAGATACTGCCTTTGGGCTGTAAGTCCCACAGGTTCTGACACTACAGTCTGGGTTGTGCATGTCCTCAGTTTGTTCAGTATGCATTACTCATCCCTTTAGTATTTCCATGGAGAAATCCTTTCCACTTGTTGGCACCAGTGTTGATAGCATTGTGTTTTTACCTGTGTGATTATGAAAAAGTGGATCCCTGATTTGGTTTTGGTTTTGTCTAACTGGTTCAGCATCACTTTCTTTTGAATTACATGTGCCATTCTCATACATTTGTGTTGCTTTTTCCACACATTTTGTTTCCCAGTTTCTTCTTCCTCATACTCTTTCTGCTGTATGTTTTTTATGGTTATAAATCATTCATTTGTCCAGTAAATATGTATAGTTCATAACATGTTGCTTTCTTTATTCATCATAAGATGCTTGCTCGACATATATGACAGAAACTTGTAACAGTGTGTCATTCAGGTGTTCATTTCACATTATTTATTTGCCTTGAATTGACAACTATGGGAAATCTAGTAGGAATAATAATGGTGTCACCTGTCAGAAGGCAAGAAGAAAACGTCAAAACCACATTTAATGAAGTTTAGAAATGGTGCTTTTCTTTCTACACTTTCTCACTTGAATCCTACCTTTCCTTTTTTTACTAGCAGCTCAAGTGATTCTCGTGCCAGTTCAGCTCTTTCTTTTCCCATTTCGACTGGGGCTTTAGTGGAACCTCTGGATATGCCTGTCATGGAACACACCCTGGGAACTGTGAAAGGTTATTATTGTTCATTATTGTTTCATGTTCGGTTATATATGGAAAGACGGATAATAAAACCGAAGAAAATCATCCAGAGGATCAGGGAAACATGTCAGATAACTTTTCTACATTTAAATCAAATATTTTTGTATATTTATATCTTCAAACAGGAAGACATTTGTTTGAGAGTTTTAGATGTCAATTGAAGTTTTCAATATTTTTTCAAATGTTGCTTGTGTATGCGTGTATTAAATTAAATATTTTCATTTCAGACCACACAGCATCAGGTCAGACATCCGATGGTCTGCATCCAACAGCCGATCACCTTCCTGTGATTGAGTCGCCTCCCTCTGACGGACGACCATTATTCAACATTAAACTTGTCCTACCACCAATCCCTGATAGACGTAAGACCTCTGCAGCCCCAAGTTCATCAGAGTCACTCAAACTCAGCCCAAGCCAACCTCTTTAAAAGGGAGGGATGTTAAAAGGGAAGGATGGTTTATCTTATAACTGAAAAAAGTGTAAAATATTTTACTGCTTTTTGTATCAATAATTGTTATTTTGCCTCTTGGATAAATAAATCAATTTGATATTAAATAATGTGATATATTCTTTTCTAGCATTTTGGCGATAACGTACACATTCATGACTGAAGGTTCTAGAAAATAGTAGTATGCAATAATGTTCTATTTCCTTATTTAAGTGTGATTTTTCTTTTCGGATATTGAAGTGGCAGTGTGTTCCCACAGCTCAGTGAGCTCATCAAATCGGCTTTGCCACTGACATCCAGATGCCAGTTTTATGTGTGTAGCACTGAGCTTTTGTCGTTGAATGATAAAGACATCATTCATCTTTATCTTTTCGAAAAGGATCATTTATTCATCTGAAAATGCATTAATATGAATGTTGTTGACAGGCTAGGACATTGTGCCCTCACAAAGAGGTTAGCATGTTTTTTTGACAGTCTGTGTGTGTTTAACACTGCCATATATTCTGATGCATGTCTCTGAATTTGGCACAGCGTTAATAAGTGATTCGTCACAAACAGAAATTGTCATATGCCACAGCTGTATGCATTGCATATTTAACTGGTCCCTTAGCCAGTCTACTTGTAGGCACATGCGGATGTACACACACACACACAGATACACACACACACACAGTATGCCTTTTTGTTTCATGGACTGTATGTGTATGCAGCTCTGTTCACACTCACAATGCACACCTGGCCATTCATCACTGTCTGTCTTCCTCGGAGGCAGCAGATGTTGTAGCCCTGTCATAATTCTTTGGAAGTTGGAAGCCAGACTGTGTCTTTAAGGCCCCTGGGGTCTAACCTACTTTCGCTGCAGTCTGCACCTCAATGCAGCCCATCATGGGCTAACATGTTGTCTTACTGTGCATTAACATTACATTAGTTGTTAGGTATGTGAGCCTGTTCAAAGAGAAATATGAAATTAAATGAGGATTAGTGTGTCAGGCTAGCTTCTGTGGACGTCTTCTCCATGTCCGCCGTGGTAGATTTTTATTAATAGTTTGAGTTAGGCATTTTTTCTTGCGTGATAGTCACAGCAGCATTTCAATCTTTTTTTTTTCGATTCCATGTATCATAATCTGGAGCACAAGATTGTCTACACCAAAGAAAGTTGTGTGTTTTATTCAGTGCACTGTAGTCTGAGCCTCTCATCTTCCCTCACTACACCAGCCGCTTAAAGATAAACATGTCACAAGCTTTTCTTCTTAGCATAACTCCTCAGGACTTAACACATCTCACTACATAGAAAAGGAGAAGGCATTTTCAGGGAGAAACGGACTTGTATCTGAGATTTATGTCTAAAGAAAAGAGGTTTTTCGACATAGATATGCAGCGGCACGTTATCAATTTTCACAAAGCTGAAGAACTCAGTGGTATGAATAAATATTTTATGATATTTCTAAGGCTTGAGCAATGAAAGGAAAGAGAATTAATCTACACTTTCATTCCAGCAAGAATTATAAGAAATAGCAGAAATGGAATGTGAGAAATAATTGGAAGCAGCAGTACATCGGTTTGACTAACAGAGCAGTTTGCTATCTTAGCTCTGGTGCTGCAGTTATTTTCACCAAGAAACTGCATGTTTCCAATATGCATTAGTCTTTTACGTTGAATTACTCAATGCTATATATTACTATATCTACTAAAGCTAACCAACATATGTCTTTCTCAGCACTGTGGTAAAAACTACTATACAGCTTACAATAACATCATTATACCATGTGCTTGATGTTATTTCTTTTTTTCCTTTTTAGATTTGCAACCCCAATTAAATCTTTAAGTATCAATTTAGTTTATTTAAAAAGGATGTTCATTTCAAAGATTTAACATAAAGATGATTTTGCTGCAAGTCAAACTCTTTAATCAGTTTTCTTATTCAAGTCATCTGCAGCAGCCAAGCTCAGTTCAACAAAATGGTTTTCTCACTTTGCCAGAGCTATTTCTACACTCCATTTCACTCTGCCAACACAGGATAAAGCTATGGTTGAACCTCCTGTCATTCTCAAACAGTTCATAAAACGATCTGCCTTGTTTGAATATTTTAGAAAATAATCAGAATCATCAGTGCTGGATTTAAATTGTATTACTTTGCTCAAATATAGTGCTGATTTCAGAAGTCAAACACGGACTAACTTGCAGCTTACCATTCTCCAACCATTTTGATAGATTTTTCATATCTGTTTGTGCACTCTTTCTCTGAAACCAAGCCCTCAGGTCAGGTGGATACATTATTGAATCCTGTGAACTGTTATGGCATTTACCCTTAAACGTCTGGTTTACAGTCACAGTGATTTGTTACTGGATACAGGGCTGCAATTAGCTAGTTTTGCTCATATAGAGTTTTCCCTTTAAAAATGCCTTGTGAAAAGGCAGGACCAGAGAAGGGAGGTCACAGTGCTGTGGGGAGACTTTAAAATAGTCTGTTAAAGTACGATAATATATTACAAGCACAGCCGTAAACGGAATAACTAACTCTCACAAGCATAAGCAGACCTACTCAAGGGTAGTTTTGGTTCTCTCTATTTGCTTTTTTAATATTAGAAATAATAATCTGCCATTACTCATTCGTTCTCTGCAGCATTAGAAAAAGGAATGTTACCAGCTATTGTATTGTATATTGTATGATAGCCCATAATAATCCACAATACACTATTCCTTTATTCCTGAATTTGCATTATGTGTGCAACTCCAGTAGGCTATATCAGATATTAGAAAATATAAATTTGACAAACAAAATTTACCTGCACACCAAATGTAGGTTTTGGTGCATATTACATATGACATCTCATCTTAAAACGTTTTTATTAAGTAAAACGAACTATGTTAAGGCCACAGCAGGACAATAAGATAATAAAATCCATCTTTTATAGAGCTGGTACGCAGTCCCAGACTTTTCTCTAAAATCTACAGCCTTTTTACCTCAAGTCCTCAACGCTTAAAAAAGTCTTGGTTTGCTCTGTAAAACTAAAGCAACCTCATTCCTTATAAGATCAGCATTTAAAACGAGCTACTGTTTTCTTACAGCTTATTTTCATTTCATATGTCATCTTTCCCTACATTTGAAATGAGTGTTGCATCGTCTCTAGGCGAGAGTGAGACTTTTCCCGATACAACAAGAATGCTTTTAGGTCCTCAGTGCAACCTCAGTGTTCCTCAACGGAGGATTTTAGAAGAGATGAGTGTGGTGACAATGAGATCTTAAATGAAACACACACCTCTACTTTAACTCTGCTACATGATGTGTCGCTGCAGTAACTATGGTAACAATGCTCTGCATTCCTCCTCCCCATGTGAATGAGTTTGTGTGTGTGTGTGTAACTTGTCATTGTGTTCCCTGCAGACAGATTAATTCTCTGCCAGATTCATTCCCTGTCAGCTCATCGAAACAAAAAGTTTCTGTTTTAATTAGCTGGGTGCAGTGTCTTGCTTCATCTGTCTATCTGTGTAGTGAGTCGCTCCCACTCCCCCCCCATCCCCCCTCCACTCCACACCTTCACCACAGCTATCTATTGTATTTAAAGACAGTCAGCGTGGATAATAGAACCATAACTGTGTGTAATTGCCATAATCAATAGAAAGTGCAGACCTAGGAGGAACAATTCCTCAATATACAGATTTATAGGGAGGTGGGTGGATTTTCTGAAGAGTGGAGGAACCTTGTCCAGTTTCCGTTTATGCTGCAATTAGTCATCAGTTGTTCAAGGAATTAGAGTTTTCAGGTTTATGACTTAAAAAAACACAAAATTATCACTATAGGTATAAGATCTCAGCTTGTTGGAGGACTGGAAAAGTTCAGAACGCCTTGTTATGAGGAATGTTGTTTTTCCAGGTTTGACTTTGCAGTTGGTTTCTGACTTAGTTCTCAGTTTTATGTTACCAAGCCATCTTTTACTTATTCAGAGAACTTATGGGAGAGAAAACTATGCTAAGAAGACTCACGCAACTCTATTTCTTTTTTCCACACTCATGCTTGATTTGACTGGTCCCCTGTCTTCAGGCTGTGTATAAGATAAAAGGAGATCTCAGTAGGTGGTGGACATGCCTTTACAGGAACAATACTGCCCCCTCCAGGGTGGGCTGACCTCACCTGAGAGATGGAGAATGGCTGCCTGAGGCGACTTGGGCTCCAGCTTTGATGGTCTGATTGTATTTGTGGAATTTCTTTGCCAGTTGTGTTGGCTTTCATTTGGTATGTTTATGGGAAAAAGGGAGGAAGAACCATGGATGTTTGAATTAGTCTGATATAATCTTGGTAATTGATCAGACTTTTGAACTGTGCTTTGATGGAAGTCCTGCAGATGGTGAGAACAACATTTTCCCTCATTCCTACCCATTCCAGCCTCTTATCTGCTTTTTTTCTGTTTCCAGCTTTCTCTTTTCACCATGTGCTTCTATCTCTGACCAGATGTTTTTCTGCTTAGTTTCTTTCCTCTCACTCTACAAGATGAATAATTTCTTAATTTTTCTCCTGTAAGAGCTCCTGTGGATAATCTTTTCTTCCATCATTTGTTTTTCTCCCCTATCAAATACTTACAGTTCTTTATATCAGTGTACAATCATTACTTTTCAGTTGTTTTAACAAACCTATTCTGCCTTTCTCTAGCCCTTCGATAGTTTTCTCATTACCATCTTGTTCATGTCACTCTTCACCTCCCATGAAACCAAGTGATCCACTGAATATTTCCCCTTCATCAAACTCTCAAACAAATTGCTGTCCTTGTGCCCCCAGCTGGGCCATGCATATTAAATTAAGCCAAAGATGGACATTTCAAAAGATGCACACAATGGGGGAGAAGAGTCAAAAGAAACGATTACAGCAGAGATGGGGGAAACAGAGGTGGATTATGTGGACAAAGGTTATGTGATGGTTGTGAAAACCCCAGGTGTCCCTTCTTTGAAATCCTTCACCTCACCATATGCTCAAGCTTTAATGAATTTGTGATCTATTTACTGCTTGCTTGTCAGAGTTTGCAAAAATCAGAGACTATAAAAAAAAGCGGTGTCAAATAAGGGGTATGTTTACATGTTTGTTTTTG